GCAGTGCTACTCAGCAGACATACAATGTGAGCCACAAACGACCATTTTAATTTTTTAGTAGCCATATTAAAAAGTAAATAGGAAAGTGAAATTAATTGAATTATATTTTATTTAGCCCAATATATCCCAAACTATTATCATTTCATCATGTCATCAATATAAAAATTAAGGAGCAATTTTTCATCGCTTCATTCATAGTAAGTCTTTGAAACCTGGCTATGTGTTTTACACTTAAAGCACACCTTGATTTGGACAGCACATTTTAAAGACTCAATAATCACAGGATATTAAAGGAGTACTGTGTTGGACAGTACAGCTCTAGCACAACTTTCCCATTGCCCCTTTCTACCACCCTCTTGGAAAAATATCACTCATCCCACAAGATGAAGCTTAGCCACAGCCCCTTCTGGGCAGGCTTCAGGCATTCAGCGGTTGGGCAACCCTTTCTTTTGGTTCCCACAACACTTTGTTGATGATACGATGATGCGTAAATCAGCATCTCTGTGGTCTTTAGCATAATATGTTGCAGCAATGATCTGCGTATAGATCCGTCTCTTCCATCAGCCTGTGGGCTACTCAGTGTTGACTGTGTCCCATTCACCTGCATGTACTTCACCTCTCAGTGCAGTGCGGTGTGGTTCAAAGTGGAGTTCCCAGACCAGCGGCAGCACCTGAGAACTGGTCAGGAATATGGGACACCTGTTTGAACAAGCTTTCCAGATGGTGCATGTGTGTATTCAAGTTCGAGAAGCTCAGGTCTAGTGCAGTGGTTCTCAATCCTACATGCAAGCACTTTAAAAGTACCAGGACAATTGCATAAGGGGCCAATGCCTAGGACCTTTCCCTAGAGAGTCTTTATTCATCGATTTGTGGTGGAGCCCGGAGCCCAGGCGCGCGCGCGCGTGTGTGTGTGTGTGTGTGTGTGTGTGTGTGTGTGTGTGTGTTTTCCCCAGGTGATTATAATGATGCTTGGATTCAGAACTAGAAGCTAAGAACCATGCCTTCCAGTTTTTCTCACCATAGATATTAATTTTAGTATTTTTAATATGGAATTATTTTTTTAATTTACACACAGTAAATTTTTTGGTACACAATTCTATAAATTTGAACAGATATAAAGACTTATGTAACCACCACTATAATCAGGTTACAGAACAGTGACATCATCCTAAAAAATTCTCTCATGTGGCCCTTTCTTGTCAAGTATTTTCCTTAGTCTGAAAACCATTGATTTATTCTCTATCCCTATAGTTTGCCTTTCCCATAGATCACATAAATTCAATAATACAGCATGTAATCTTTTGAGACTAGCTTGTTCACTCAGTATAACACCTTTAAATTCATCTGTGTGGTTGCAAGTGTTGATAGTGGTGAGCAGTATTGCATTTTATAGATGTACCATAGCTTACTAATTCATGCATCCATTGAAGGATATTTAGGTTGTTTCCAGTTTTTGGTGATTATTAAATAAATAAATCTGCTACAGATATTCATGTAGAGATTTTTGTGTGAATATAATTTTTTTTCATTTCTCTAGGCTAAATATATAGGAGGAGTGGTATTGCTGGATTATAAAGTGTTTGAGACTTTATAAGAAACTTCCAAAATGATTTTACGAAGTGGCTGCATCATTGTGCATTCTCACCAGCAATGCATGAGGATCTAGTTGCTTCACTTCCTTGCCAGCACTTATTGTTGAAATTATGTTTATTTTAGTGATTCCAATAAGTATATAGTGATACATCATTATGGTTCTAATTTGTGTTTCCCTAATGTCTCATGATGTTGAGCATTGCTTCATGTGCTTATCTGTATTTTCTTTGCTAAATGATCAGTTCAAACCTTTGCCCACTTTTTTTTTTAAATGGGTTGTTTTTATTGCTATGTTTTGAGAGTTTTTTTATATGTTCTGGCTACAAGTCTTGTGGTGGATATATTATTTGTAAATATTTTCTCCCAGTGCTTTGAATAGTATATTTGAAGAGCAAATATTTTAAATTTTGATGAAGCCCAATTTGTCAACTATTTATTTTACTGATTTTGCTGTGAGTGTCATATCTAAAAACTCTGTCTAACCAAAGGTCATGAAAATTTTCTCCTATGTTTTCTTCTAAAAGTTTTACAATTTTATATTTTACATTTAGTTCTATGATTCATTTTGAGTTAAATTTTATGAAGTTAATTTTTCCCCAGATAGCTGCTCAACTGTTGCGACACTATTTATTGAAAATAATATCTTTTCTCCACTGAATTCATGTACTGCAGTCTTGCTCTACTCGCTTATTAGTTCTAGGAGATTTTTCTTATAGATTCCTTGAGATTTTCTACATAGACACCCATGTCAATGAGAATAGCAAGTTTTATTTTCTTCCTTTGCAATCTATATGAACGGTATTTCATTTTTCTTGCTTTATTGCACTGGCTAGGGCTTTCAGCATGATGTTGAATGAGTGGTAAGACTGAATATCCCTGCTTTTCCCCTACTTTACAGGGAGAAAACATTCAATATCTCATCATTAAGATGATGTTCATTGTAAGGCTTTTGTAGTCATCCTTTATCAGAAGTTTCCCTCTAGCTTTAATCCTTAATGAGAGTTTTTTGCTCCAGTTTTTGTTTTTGTTTTTACTCCCCTATCACTAACTAGCTATATGAATTTGGGAAATTTGAGTTAAACTACCATGTCAGAAAAAAAGAAATAAAATATATTTATACCTCTTTGTGTTGCTCAAAGGGTGGAGATGTATGTGTGTAGATGTGTGTGATTCATGAGTGTGAGGGAGTACTCACATATACCACAAAGAAAAGGCCCTGTGCATTTCACTGCACGTGTAAAGTAAATCATGCCCAGGTTAAACCAGTTTTGCTATGTGCACTTTCTACATAACTGGGTGAGAGCCAATTCACTAGGTTAAGAGAAGATTCTTTTAACCATTGAAAACTAATTTTAAAAAGCCTAGAAGATAGAACAGAACTAAAAAATATATAATATACTTTAACCTAAGTGCAGCACATGACATTTATCCCTGTTATATTTATGCCTGTTTTTGTTTTTCTTTTCAATTCTTGAATTCTGACAATAGGCCAGAAACTGTTCTTTGTGTTTTGCATGTTTAGTCTCATAAAATTTCACAGCAGTCTTGCACCAAAGCTTAACGTAAGAAATTACTTTGTTTTATTGTTTTTAAAAAGGAGCTGCCCAGCAACAGCAAATGATGTGTCTTAAGCCTGAGCTCATGGAGCCTGAGAATGTACTGTCAGAGGTTTTGGAGAAGGCATTCCAGCACTGGGTAGGGATTCGGACTGTCCCATAAAGTTTCTTCTCACTCAGAAATACTACAACCATCCTAGATCACAGCTTTAAAATGTCAACATAAGAGGCAAAGCCAAGGCAGGAGTTGTCCTGAACACTGTGAGTTATTTTCTGAGACCAGCTATCTACTTCCCTCCTCTTGCCCTGCTAGACTCCCTGGAACTCCTACATCTCACTCTCCTCCCAGTTTCTTTCTTGACAGTAAGAGTCAGATAATATAATTTTGAACCCAGGCTTTACTACGCTGATGATCAATGACTTTAGCATGTAGCAATATCTTCTTAAATCTTAAATAGTTCTTTGTTAAAAAATAAACTAAAAAGAATGTAGGTCATCTTTGCCTGCCTCACTTACTTACACTTGTTCCAGGATCAAATTAGAGAAAGGAAGGGAGGTAGGGAGGGAGGGAGGGAGGAAGGGAGGAAGGAAGGAAGGAAGGAAGGAAGGAAGGAAGGAAGGAAGGAAGGAAGCCACCAAAGTGCCAGACATATAGTAACAAATGCTGATTACATTCTAAATCTATTGAAAATAAAAACAAAGCAAATAAAACTTATTTCCACCAATGCATGTTTCCGGCATGCATCTGTAGTTGGCTTCAAACAGTAGATTTGTCATGAAGAAAGCATATGCAGTTTTACTTAATGTATTCTGAATGATACCCCAACACCAACTGCCAGGTCAAGACAGAATCTCCTTTCATTTGTACATTCTTTTTTAGTTCTTATAACCTTGCTATTCAGTTTGATTAACCCATAACCTTACGAGGCAGGTAGGGCCAGGGGAGGATTCCCAGATCACAGAGGAAGTTACAGCCCAGAGAGGTTGGGGTATTTCTCCTGATCTCAAGGTTAAAGGGCGGCAGAGCCCAGGACCCCAACTCAAGGACAGGTGCTTATTCTGCTGCACTTCCAGCTCACCACTATTATATTGGTTGGTTCTATTTTCAACCCAAGATATGCTAATCATATCTTCATATATTTTTGTTTAAGTTGCTTTTATTTTTCTTGGATAGGGAAGAGCCCTGTGAGTATGATCAACTCTGGAAAGAGTACAAGGTTTAAACTGGTACAAAATGATGCTATTGCTGTAAGATGTACACAGCTGCACAAGGTAAACAGGGGGTCAATATTTGAAATCTTGGGCTTCCACTGCTAGAACAGAGCCCCTTGTTTGTGGGGACAATATAGACCTTGCTCACTGCTATATCTCTAGGGCCTAGAACAATATCTAGCACATAGCAGGCCATCCCTAAATATCTGTTGAATAGATGAATAAACAGTTTTGCAAATAATATCCCAGTTATGCTTTTTAGTAAACTCGACCACACAAGGGTTCATTTGGGAAAGCAGGCAGCTCCTACAATTTACCATGTGAATGTAAAATACCATGATGAGCTATGAACATCTCTATTCAAATTACACTGAAGATGCCAAAGAAATTACTAATAGGGGCCTCAAAATTCATCACATTAACTCACATCTCCAGAAAATTCTTTCCTGAGGGTTTATTTCAGTGAAACGTCTCCCGTGGGACAAGAAGTCTCTCCCCAATTCTGGGAAATAAGGATGGATATGGCTATAATGGAGCTCTGGGCTTTTCATCTTCCCAAGTCATTAAAATGCAAATTAGGGGAGGAGAGAGACCTGCAGGCAGATCTCCCCGGCCCAGCCTGCTGGGCGCAGCACTCACATCCGTCCGCTGTCCGCACCTCCATGTGCACCAGGTCCGCCTCCTTATCCAGTCCGGCCACCGACCTGGGGAAGGAAGGGAAAGACAGAGGCTCAGTGACCTGGACAGCAGACAGCAAAGTGGGAAGCGCTCAGGGTCGACTGCTGCTCAGAAACCTGCTCTCTCAAACAGGACTGCTCTGCAGCGTGGGGACTGGCAGAATACAGCCAGTGGCAGCCTCGGCAGTGTGGCTGCCTGGAGTAACTTGTCACCTGTAATGGACACATGGCAGGAGTACTGGAGTGGTGTGAGTCAGTGATTGAAACAAATAAACAAAAAAAGCCCTTGCACCTTCCCAGAGGTTCTCTCTTCCCCATGCTCTTCCAACTATCTCCTTGGTCTTTGGTCTTGTTTCCTTTTTTTTTTTTTTTTTTTCTTTTTAAGAGATGGCATCTCAGGCTGTGATTCAGGCAGTGCAGTGGGCCCATCATAGTTCATTGTAGCCTCAATCTCCTGGGCTTGAGATCCTCCTGCCTCAGCCTCTTGAGTAGCTGGGACTGTTTAGAGATGGGATTTTGCTAGTTTGCCCAGGCTGTTCTCAAACTCCTGACCTCAAGTGGTCCTCCTGCCTCCAGCTTCCTGAGTAGCCAGGGCTACAGGTGTAAGCCACATGCCCTCCCCCTCTGCAGGCTCATTTTTCCTGCCCTTTCCTACCCTCTGGGAAAGATGGTTTTGCCCATTTCATCGGTTTGCTCCAAGGTATTCTTTCCCTCTTGAGTTTGATCCTATCTACCCTTCTTTCCTCCTGCCTTGAAAATAACAAATGCTTGACAAACACTAAAAACCTGGCCTGACAAGGACAAAATCCTCCTGGTGACCTAATGGGAGACATTAAAGGTCTTTGGCCAATAGTCAGAAGGGGGAAGACTGAGAATCCTACAAATAATCCTTGTGGACTTCCGACCCTCCACACATAAAGCCCAATCTACCATCTCCTGAATTCCATATCCAGGCCAGAGTAAGACCCAGAAAGTCAACTAAAAGAACCAACACACATTAAAACATTTATATACCAATGATCATATAATCCATTCTCTCTGGCAAGCTCTTACTCATAGTCTGCTTACTCATATCTTAAATGCCATTCTAAGGTTGGTTTTTCTGGTTTTCTAGGTAAGAAGCATCACATTAGGAAAAAGCAGAATTAAGAATGTTGAGAACCGGCCGGGCGTGGTGGCTCACGCCTGTAATCCTAGCCCTCTGGGAGGCCAAGACGGGCGGATTGCTCCAGGTCAGGAGTTCGAAACCAGCCTGAGCAAGAGCAAGACCCTGATGCTACTATAAATAGAAAGAAATTAATTGGCCAACTAATATATATAGAAAAACTTAGCTGGGCATGGTGGCGCATACCTGTAGTCCCAGCTACTCGGGAGGCTGAGGCACCAGGATTGCTTGAGCCCAGGAGATTGAGGTTGCTGTGAGCTAGGCTGACGCCACGGCACTCACTCTAGCCTGGGCAATAAAGCAAGACTCTGTCAAAAAAAAAAAAAAAAAAAAAAAAAAAGAATGGTGAGAACCAACAGCCGATACCTAGATAGCAAGAGAAAGAGAAAACCTATGAAGAATAGACTGAGAACTCAAAACCCAACATTCCATGCCAGGAACACATGCGCTCCCTAGTGGCCCTGCCCTGCAGTGCATGGCAGTGTCTGACATCTGCGGGAGGGGCGGAAGGCACAGGAGGAAAGAGCAGGGCCATGGGCATCCAGTGCGCTCTGCTCAAGGAAGTAGGGATGCAAGCGACAGATGTTAGGGAAAATGAAATGATCTGCATTAGTTAAAATAAAATAATTACTTCTTGAAAGGTTGAACTTTTGTTATCTAAAAAGGCTGTTTATATAAAGTACATCTTTCCCCAAAGAGGCTGAATAAATGAGTCTTTATTCTAATGGGTTATTTTTCCCATTGGTCGACGATATATCTTCTTGTTTTGTTTTCTTTTTTTAACCTCATTTGATTCTAACAGCAAACTCCTAATGAACGGGCATCATTAGTCATATTTGACTGAAGGAGAAACTGAGGCATGGATAAAGTGATGAGTGCCGAACTCCCTTCCATCTATCTAAAATCTTACACATCTTTCAAGGCCAAAAGAAAGAATCAAGTCCTCCTGGAAGCCTTCCCTGGTCACTCCATCTCATGTTAATCTCTCTGCTTTACGTTTCTAGAGAACTCGGAATAGGAACCATACATCCTCCAGCCCTTGCATTAGTATTGTTTCTCCTGAATTGATCTTGGCTCACTAAATTGGACACCTGTGGTTTGGGTCCGCTCAGTACCCTTTCTCCATCAATCTTTTGTGGAGCTGTCTGCCTGGCTCAAGCCAATGCTTTTGGCCAGGCTGGTCAATCTCAGCAGCCCAGACCTCTGAACCCCAGGATGTCATATAATCCAGCATGGTCACAAGACATCTTGGCTATGGTTATCAGGACATGCCAGGGCAATTTAGAAGACTTCCTTAGGATTTCTCTAGCTGAACCTGGTAGGGATGAATTGTCTTTCCTCTCTGGTCACCAGGAGAAATGTCTCTGCCCTGCAAGGAATATCAAGTCTAAAAGAATGGCATGGATATATAGAAAGGAAGAAAATGGACACTGTGACGGAGAGACAGGAAGAGAGAGGGAAATATGAAGACAGTGGTCAAGAGATACAAACTGAGGTAGACAGAGACAGAGATTAAAACAGAAACATACAGAGATACAGAAAGAGACAGAGAGACAGTGTGTGTATGTGTATGTGCACACACACACATACACACATGCACACACATACATTTAGAGAACCCAAAGTTAGAGATTCACACAAACAAGGAAACACACTGAGAGACAGACAGATAGACCACTAGACACAACTGAAGGTCTTTAAATCTCAATATCAAGTCATTTCTCAGTCCCATCCCAATTTTGTAGCCTGCTCCTATACACAAGCCCATAGGGTGCCTTTGTTTGTGAAAGTGTTTGTATATTTATTTGCTTAAGCCATCAGTTACAAATAGAACGATTTTTATTAATAGGCAACACATCAGAGAGTAAATTTCCAAGGTGAGGACCCTAATTATCTTTTTCCAATATTTGCCACAACACACAGCTCAAGATTAGGCACAGCTTCGGATTAAATGATGGGAGTAAGAGATTTGTAGTTCAGAGATGCTCTGCCCCCAGGTCTACGGGGAAGGAGATTAAGCTGCTCAGCTGGATGGAGGTGCAGCAAAATTCTTTGGGTGCTGGGAGTAAAGAGAACATTCTTCACCACAATCTGAGCTGCAGCCCTCAGCCCCCCCCATCAGCATGCAGAGACACGCCACTGCCCACCTCTGTGGTGCTGGTGGCATTAGCCTAGGGTTGGCACTGCTGACATTTTCAGCCAGTTAATTCCTTTTTGCAAGAGCTGTCCTGTGCATTGCAGAATATTTAGCAGCATCCCTCGCCTCTACTGGATGCAGTAACACCCCTGCAGTTGTGACAACCACAAATGTCTCTAGACATTGCTAAATTCCCCCTGGGTAGGGGAAGCAAGGGGCAAAATCGCTCTCAGTTGAGAGCCACTGCCTTTAGCTGGCCATATTTCACTGATGCATGCACTCTGAGCCTGCCTTGCTAACAAAGCAGCAAAAATAAGCACTCAGGATCCACACTTCCTTGCCTAGTGCAAACATCAACTGACACTGCTGAGAAGCCCATGAACTACTGCCATTCTAGGCCACCAGCTCACCAGGAAACTACCTGACACTCATCAGTGGAAGCAATCAGGTTCCTAATCTCAAAGCCCCAAGTCCCTACTTCTAGAAACTCAATGTAAGGAAAGTACATACAAACACAGCAAGCAAAGACAGACAAGATGCAAATATCTACTGAGTTTTTTGGATGGAGGGGGGTAGAAGTTGTAAGGGATAAACTTAAAGAAATGTTTAGAAAAATGCACATAATAATGATGATAAATGCTAATGGGTATTGAGACCGTCCCTGCATCAGGCATTGCGTTTAGTATTAGAAGCCTTTTCTTAATTAATCCTCAAAATGAGTTTTTAAAGAAGGTACTGTTTATCTAATTTTCCTCTGGTAAAATGTGCCTACTAACAGAGATTAAACAGTGTGCCTAAAGTCACATGATAATAACAATTCATAGATAGTGAGAGCACACCTCATGTCAGAGTCTATTTTAAATGTAAATGCTGACCTCATTTAACCTTCACATCAACTTTACAAGTTGGGAATCATTCTTTTTCCCTATTTTAAAAGGGCACAATTAGGCATCAAGAACTTAAACAATTTGCCTAAAGTCATGTAGCTAGGAAGCAGCAAAATCAGGACTTGAGCCAGACAGGTGGCTGTGAGCAACAAGTTTAGTTTCCGTAAGCTGCCTTCCTCAGTGACAGAAAGATAGGATTCGTGCACAACCATCTCTCCCAGATTCAAGGATCATAACCGCTGCCTCCCTCCCTCCATGTGTAAGTCCCTTTAAAGCAGCATGGTACGAAATATAAATGTATTCTGCACACATTTTCAATATTGCAGGAAATTTTGTTTCTAGACTACATGAACTGGAAGTCACTTGTATTGATGATAATAGGTAAGAAGGAAATGTTAGGAAGAGAAAAAGTAAATTGGGCCAATGGTAGAGGAATAGCGAGTGGAGATGTTTGCAAAGACACCTTAAGAAAGATTAAAACACAGACGAGAGGCATGCCTGCTCAGATGTGCCAAGCAGGTTAATGACTGCTCCAGCACCAATTCCTTCTCGAGCATCCAAGCTCCTTCACATTTCCAGGACAAAAGTTAGGCCAGGGTGAACCAGAACACCAGGAATGGTCATCAGTACAGAACTAGCCACAGGACATATAAATCTCCTCGTGCTTAGTGTCTGCAACAAAGCAAAGATGGATTTGCAAGAATCCTATTAAAACGGTAGGGAAAAAAAATATCCTGGAAAGTTTCTAGAAAGCATCAGAAGGTAAAGAGAAATTGTATCAGTATGTATTATTATTATTAATACTAATGCAATAAAAACAGGTCATCAATAGTGCCTT